ACCAAGCCTCCCTGACAAGTTATTTTACCTTATTTCCTACTATATCACTGCTCTCTTCTGATTCCTTTAAATCTTGGTTTCTTCATCTGCCTTTCTGCCCTGTTCTTCTCTTTATCATATGAATTATCATGTTCCTTAAAGTTTTCTTGAACCTGTCTTTCATTACTTTCCATTTCTTGGGAATACTCATTTCTCCAATTACTACCATTAACACTATACTGATTATTCTTTTTTTTTTAATTTTATATACCTTCAATGACATAAAACATTACAGCTTGCAAAATGAATTTATTCTTAAATCTCTCTTGTTTTGTCATCTGAACTACAGTTCCAAATCTTCAGGCTTACTGAGTATTTTTACCTATATATCCCCACAACATCGCAAACTGAACATGATTAAACCAAAGTTCTCTTCTTGCTCTGTAAATGAACAGGGTTCTCTCCAACTTTCTTGACAAATGGCTCCAAGATTGTCTGCTGCAATAAGACTCCAACCTGGTGCATTGAGTTATCTTTGATTACTCTTTATCCCATCTCAAGAATCAGTCACTAAAATAAGCATGTTTTCCTCTATAAACTACAGTATGGTGAAGAGGAAAAGGCCATGAAGTAATCAAATGTATGTTTAAATTAGGTAATCTATTTACTATAAATGTGCATAAACTTGGATATATTATCCAACATCTGAACTTCAGTGTGTTTACATGAAAGAAGAAGAAAATACTTCCTAAGGTGTTGTCATGATAATTAAATGAGAGGTTGCATTTTAAATATTTGATTAAAAAAAGTCAGTTGCAAAATCCATACAAGTCTTCTATCAGTTCTGTTTTACCTAAGTAATTCACTACAAGGATTTCTACTTGGTCTATATTCAAATTTTACAACTACTCCTCTCCCAACAATATGACCTTCTTTTACTTCACTTTCAGGGCTTCTTCTAATCTATATCACCCACATAATACAAAGGAGGACAAGCAAGTCACTTCATATTAGAGGGGTAAGAGCTCTTATTCATAAGTCATGAAATAATTCTAGATTTATACTCTTGATGATTTGCTAAGTACCCTAGGTCAAGTCTAGAAAGATTTTTAGGGTCTTAATTTTATTGTCTTATAATGAATAACTATAAGATGGCAATTCATGTATATACCACCTTTAGAATTCTATGGTTCTATAATTATTTTTCAAAGTAAAGATGAAGGCATAAAGACAGAGATACAAAGAAACATAGCATATTTCTTCATTAAATAAAAGCCACATTTGATTAAACAAATTTCCTTTTTTAATATTTTATGAGGTAGAAGATATTGGAAATGTTTTTAAACTCCTAGTATAATTCGTGAAGAAGTGTAGAGGGTTTGTAATGGGATTTGGTCAGGAAACATCTGTTTATTTGAGAAGAAAAATTCAAAAAAAAAATGGTTAATCTGTTTTTATCCAGAGCAGTGTTTTCCAAATTGTGTTACAAATAGCATTACTAGTTGCATTACTAGTTGTACAAAGTGTTAATATGAATTGCCTTAAATGAGGCTGGGCCCTTGAGGGTTGTCTGAACTTAGTTTCTTCCAAAAAAATGGAATATGCTAAGAGAGAAATAATTTTACAGTAGAGAAAAGCTGAGTAATACCACTTAACCAAGTGACTGAGGTTAACATTACCCTGGTAACCCATATTAGTTACCAAGTACCTACCTCTACAACACAATGTGACGAGTAGGGCCTTTTATGTCTGTGCTATGTTTTCAAAAACCTATAACCCCTGTCTAGTTATGAGAAATTATGTCAGTAATATTCAATGTGAAGGATATTCTACTAAATATCTGACAATTACTCTTTAAAACTGGCTAGGTTATGAAAAATAAGAAAAGACTGAGAAAGTCTCACAAACCATATACAATGATTAAATACAGTTTAATGTCCTAGACTATAGCAGAAAAAAATCCATCATTGGAAAATTGGGGTATAGAATCTATAGTTTAGTTAATAGTAGTATATCAACAGTTATTTCCTATATTTGATCAGTTTTCATAATTATGTGAGATGGTAAGTTTAAAGGAAACTGGAACTGATTGAAGAGTATTATAAAAACCTCTCTAAAGGGGACCAGCAGTAAGCGTAATGGCTATAGTGACTTCCACATAGTCAACCGTGGTTCGGGTCCTGGGCCCGGTGGCTTAAACTCACGCCAGGCGCGTGTGCGTACATGCCCAAGATCCTGAGAGGAGAATGGAGGAGAAGGGATTGTGGCATGGCCATCGCCTCTGGGGGGTGATTTCTCGCTTTCTGTCTCTCTGTCTGGCGAGCGCATGCGCCCTATAGCAAAAACCTCTCAAAAAAAAAAAAAAAAAGAAAAAAGAAAAAAAAAACCCTATCTATTATCTATGTAACTACTATACAATTAAAATTTATTCTAAATAAAAAGTTTATTTTAAAGATTAAGGAGAAGAACCATTAGCAGATTCCTTTGCGAAACTTGGGTTAAACCATTGATTTCCTCGATACCTGTAATTACCAGAGATTCTGTGATATATAATAGCTCTATGACCTAAACAAAAGAGCTATAGGGTGTCATATTTCCCAAACATATTTCACCAGCAAACATTTTTTATTTTCCTCAAAAAGTATCTTTCAATAAAAATGCTGATATAGATTGATTCTCTTCCAATGTCTCACAGACTTCTGTGCTATACTGGAGCATGTTCAAATTTTAATCAGCAACTTTGCTGAAGAAGAGAAAGATGCCATGAACATTAAATTAGCAGAAAAGATGCCATGAACATTAAATCGGCAGAAGACATGAAACTAGAGGATAATATGACAGATGAGAGAATAATCATTAACATTACATTTAATAGGCTACATCTGTTATCTAAACTCAGTGGGATAAATATGAAAGGATAAATACATAGCCTACTTTTAGTTAAATAAATTAAAAAACAAAAATTCACCAAATAAGTATAGGATGAAAAAGAATGAACTGAAATACCCATCATATTACTATAAGCAGGTTTGTGTCTTAGGAGCTCTTGGGTCAAATTAGTACAACCATCATGCTCAGTGAATAGTTCCTAATAGTAGTAGTTTCTACAAATTTTGCTTGTTTTTGTTGTTGTTCTGTGGGCTACATTATAAAAAATATTTTAAAAATTTTTAAAAAAGCTTCAACAAACCATTTCCAAAGAAAAAGGAACAAGATGGTGTATATCTTGGTAATAATGTCATGGCAAGAAATGTTAAAGGACCTTAGACTATTACCCTGTTAAACAGAAACGGCCCAAGGGAATTTGACAGTGGTCCTTATGTATACATGGATACAAGAAGAATCTAACCTATTCTGTGTAATTTCAGAAGTCAGAAGAAGGACCTAAGGAAGCAAGAAGCAGCACAAGATTTTTTGTTGTTTATTTTATTCAGAGAGAGAGAGAGAGAGAGAAAACAACAGGCATCCTCAACAGAGTCTTGCTACAATGCAATACTCCCCCAACCCCAAGCTCTCCGGTTCTCCAGTCCTCTAGCCCAGAACACAGGCTCACCTACAAGCCCAACATGACTTAGGTCAACCAGAGATCTGAACCATGGTCTTCCCTGTGGCTCCAGTACTGCAGAGTAGCAACCTACCACCTGCAACAGTGCAGTTGGGCCTCAACACTTCCTTTGTAATTATCAAATACCTCCTAATAGAATAGAAAACACTGAAACTGAGTTCCCTCCTTCAGGAATGGTATAAATAGAAGCTGGATATCTCCCAGTCTAGATTGCTGCCAGGGTGTCTTCTATATTGTTCTCAAGAATGTCTTCTACATAGTCTTCCAGTCCTAAGATCTTAGAATGTATGAAACCACGGGGAAGATTTAAAATATCAAGAGGTTGGGCAGGCAGTTTGTGTGGTTGTTAAGGTGGCTGGACTCCCACATGACTGACTGCAGTCTGAGTCCCAGACCTGACAGCTTGCTTTCTTTCCTCCTCTCTCTGTCTCTCTCTGGTCAACTTCAAAATAAGATAAAATAAAGACAAGAATAAAATTAAATAAAAAATAATTTTTAATAAAAGTAAAAATAGTAAAAAATCAAGAGGCACTGAAGAAAGTAGCTAGCTATTCCAAAGACTCCTTAACACACCTTAGCCCCTACTCAAACTTTCTTCTAACCATCATCCCTGTAATATCTGGAAACTGCCTGACCAAGTGTTAAGAGTTCAGCCAAATAATATGACAAACACTGTTCCTGACTGTAGTATCTAAGAGACTTCTGATGGCACATGGTCATTTAAGTTACACTAGAGAACACGGAAGTGATGACTTTATCTAAACCAAGTACTGTTACTCCAAAAGAAAGTAACGAAAATAAACACTCAAATATATAAACAAGTCAATTTTTTAAAAATCCATTTTTCCCCTATAGAAATAACTAGCTTATAAGAATACTAATGTGGGGACCAGTAGGTGGCGTAATGGCTATGTCGCTGGACTCCCATGTAGTCGACTGCAGGTGGAGTCCCAGACCGGTGGCTTAAAGTCACGCTGGGCACGTGTGCGTGTGTGCCCAAGATCCCGAGAGGAGAATGGAGAAGGAATTGCGGCATAACCATCACCCCTGGAGGGTGATTTCTTGCTTTCTGTCTCTCTGTCTCTCTCTGTCTGGCAAGTGCACGCACCCTATGGCAAAAACCTCTCAAAAAAAAAAAAAAAGACTAATGTGTATAAATTCAAGGCCTATTTCAGTGTTGCTCCAAGTTAAGCCAGAACGATGGTGAGCCAAGTACTCAAAAAGTTAAAGAGGAAGTCACTCAGGGTCCACTCAAGATACTAAAGTTAGGGGGAACACACTAGGAGTCCCTTGAGTGCCAGCAAGGTCAGCCCTAGTGAGTGTAGGTCTCTTTAAAGTTTCCTATTATGACCACTTGCTTGCCTCACCATAGTCCTTGGCTTGTGATTGGTCAGGCTGCCAAAGCCCCGCCCTACGTGGTTCCTTGCGTTAACCGCTGTCTGGTGGTTAGGCCCCACCGTCCGTTGGTTCAGAGTTGGATGAGAAAAGATGCCACAGACTTGATCTCCCAACCGTATGTAGGCAAAAAGCCACATCAACACTATCACAATTCCATAATGTCACGGGTCCCAGAGTGGAAGAGGGAAGAGCCTAACTCAAGAAATCTTGGGGCCAGCTGGGATGGAGGAAGGAGCCGAGGCAGAGGCCAAGGCCGTGACTGGAGCAGCCCCTCTAGTTCCTCTAGACCCCTCAGCCAGATTGGGCCTAGGGCTGCAAGTGCCCGTGAACCACCACTCTGCTTTAGATTGAATAGCGCTATGATTGGTGCAGTAATTGGTCGTGGTGGATCAAAAATAAAAGATCTACAGCATTTGACAAAGACTAAAATACAGATCATAAAGGGAGATTTTGATGCAGAGGTAAAAATTTTTGGCAGCAAAGACATGAAAGTAAAGGCTAAAAATGCTATAGACTCAATTGTTAAAGAACAAGAACGCCGCCACTCAGAATCCAATGTTGATAATACTGCATCCCAGCCCTCTGTTGAGAGAGACATAAGCACAGATAATACTGCTAGAGAAGTAAAGCCACTGATAGATTGGGATCAACTTAAGGCAGAAGTTGTAGAATGGGAAAAACGAAAATGGGCAGATTTACCGCCAATTAAGAAAAACTTTTACATAAAATCCAAAGCAACAAGCTCAATGTCTGAAGCGCAGGTAGATAATTGGAGAAAGGAAAATTTCAATATAACATGTGATGACTTGAAAGATGGTGAAAAACGTCCCATCCCCAATCCAACTTGTAAATTTGAAGATGCTTTTCAAAGTTACTCCTATGTTATGAAAAATATAAGAAAGGCAGGTTTTCAGAAGCCAACACCAATTCAGTCACAGGCATGGCCAATTATTTTACAAGGAATAGATCTTATAGGAATTGCACAAACTGGAACAGGCAAAACGTTGGCCTATTTAATGCCTGGATTTATTCATCTTGATTCTCAACCAATTTCTAGAGAACAAAGGAATGGACCTGGCATGCTAGTCCTTACACCCACTAGAGAATTAGCTCTACAGGTGGAAGCTGAATGTTCTAAATATACATATAAGGATCTTAAAAGTGCTTGTATCTATGGTGGTGGAGATAGAGAAAGACAAATACAAGTTGTTACCAAAGGTGTAGATATCATTATTGCAACTCCTGGAAGGTTGAATGATCTGCAAATGAATAAACTTATCAACCTAAAAAGCATAACCTACTTGGTCTTAGATGAGTCAGATAAAATGCTAGATCTGGGGTTTGAACCCCAGATAATGTAAATTTTATTAGATGTGCGCCCAGATCGGCAGACTGTGATGACAAGTGCAACTTGGCCAGATACTGTTCGTCACCTTGCACACTCTTATTTGAAAGATCCTATGATTGTATATGTTGGTACTCTGGATCTAGTTGCTGTAAATACAGTGAAGCAAGATATAATTGTTACCACAGAAAGAGAAAAAAGAGCTCTTTTCCAGAAATTCCTGGAGAACATGTCACCCAAAGACAAAGTCATTGTGTTTGTTAGCCGAAAACTTGTTGCTGATGACTTATCAAGTGATTTAGGCATTCAAGGCATACCTGTGCAATCACTACATGGCAGCAGAGAACAATATGATCGAGAACAAGCATTAGAGGATTTTAAAAGTGGAAGGGTGAAAATATTGATTGCAACTGATTTAGCATCCCGAGGTCTTGATGTTGCTGATATTACTCACGTATATAATTATGATTTCCCACAGAATATTGAAGAATATGTACACAGAATAGGGCGTACTGGAAGAGCAGGGAAGATGGGCATCTCAATTACCCTTATCACTCAAGATGATTCAAAGATTGCCAATGAGTTGATTAAAATTCTGAAAAGAGCAAATCAGAGTGTCCCAGAAGATCTTATATTTATGGCAGAGCGTTACAACTTCCATAAACAAATGAAGGACACAGGAAAAAAGCCAAGTAAATTTCAAGGAAGACCCAGAGAGTCTTATTAGTTTATGTTGAAAAGTTGCAGCAGGCCACTGGAAGATTCAAGGCGTGTTAAAGATATTCAGTTTTCAAGATAAATAACAAACTCTTAGAAATATACTAGCAGTTTGAAGACACAACCAGTTCTTAAATAAAACTGTTAGCCTTTCAATAGCACGTGTGTTCCTTAATAATAAAAGTTTTTTAAGATGAGAGTAATAGATGCTGTAGAGAAAAATTAAATGCTATGTGTTGGCTAAAGTCTAGTTTCTTTTACAACCTGCCATGTCCATCTGTCTTCTCTAAAAGAGTTGACGGAAGACAATGTCAGTGCTTTTCTTCCTTTAAAGCAGTTACACTGAATTGAACTATAGTTTTCATGAAGTTTATCCCAATTGAAATTTCTATTCCCTCTAGTGATAGATGGTATAACAATCCCTAAAATATCTTTACTATCATTACTTGTTTTAGTTCATTAGAAAATAAGTGCTAAATTTTCTAGAAGATGTCATAACTATTTTATCAGATTGATGAAATCAATAGAGCAGGGATTCTGACTCAATGAGAATCAGATCCTTATATGAATTCTATAACTCAATATTGGTTTTTAAACTCTTGGGGGCTCACTTGCCTTCTCTAGGCTTCTTTCTCCACTCCTAAAATGGGATGGTTATATTAAATATTTTGAGGGTTTCCTTCACCTCAAATCTGGGATATAACTAAAATTGTGCATGCCAGCTTTGCATTAATAATACTTCATCATTTAGTCTATGGAAAGTTATATCCTTGTATAACAAATTGAACAAAGAAATCAATTTTAATAACTAGAATAGTACATTTTACATTTTTATTAATTTTTGTAATGAGACTAGCAGGTTTTCTTTTAATTCTTTCCTTTTCACTATGTTTTATTTATTTTGGCTTGTCTTGAAAAAGTCAAAAACACATATACACACACTTCATGGGAAAAAGTGAATGTGGATGACAAATTTACAAGGGAAAAAACATCTCAAATGACACCTTACCATAGGAACCAATTTTAGTACAACTCTTTCCTATTTTACTTATAGTTCTCTCTCATGCCACCTTATTTAGAAGCAATAAGCATCTCATAACTGCAAAAGGAAATATCCACAATGATACAAAATAAACTTTAAGATTTTGTTTTCATGAGAACACAAGAATGAGGTAAGCCTTAACATATATGGCAAAATAAAGAGAAAAATTAATGCAACAACTTTTATTCCCAGCGTGCCTCAGCTATGACCAAAATAAGTTATAAATTAAGGAAAAGAAAGAGTTTTGAGATTTCACACAAATTCAGATTTAGTAAAATAAAGAGATATGTCTTTTTTTTTTTAGGTTTTTGCCATAGAGCATGTGTGTTCACCAGAGAGCAAGTGAGAGAGAAAGTGAGAAATCACCCCCAGGGGAGAGGGCCACACTGCAATCCCTTCTCCTCCTGGAATTTTGGGCACATATGCACACTTACCTGGTGTGAGTTTTAAGCCACCAAGTCCAGGACTCAAATCGTGTTTGGCCACTTGGGAGTCCAGTGCCTTAACCATTACACCATCTGCTGGCCCCAATGTGTGCAAATTTACTGATAGAAAAGTAGTCTATAGCAGAACATTTAATAGAAGCTAAAATGGACTGTTCTGTTTTCTGTGAGAAGAAATGAATGTTTTGCAAGGTAGAATATATGTTATTTGCCAGAATTCCTCATAGGAGCAATGCTATGTTCCTTAGGGGGAAAAAAAGTAACACTTAAACCACTTGAGATAAAGAGTAAGTTCCCTCAATGTTTCAGTAACGTAACAAGAATAATTATCACTCAAGGTCTATGAGAAAGAAAGGAGAGAAGCTTAAATTTCCTCTAAGACAGAGCTGAAATGGGCCAGTGAAGGTAAATAGAGATATTACAACGATTTTCAATAGATGATTTTTCTTCCCAAGAGACCTTTGGCAATACCTGGAGACATATTGCTATATTGCTGGTTCAACTTGGGGAGTGGGGTGAGCAAAGCACCACTGGAATACTGAGATCTAGTACACAACAAACATTTATCTGGTCCAAAACAATAGTGCCGAAAAGGAAAATCTCTGAGGGATCTTAAGCAAAACAACCAAAAACAATTCTGTAGTACCAAAAAGGGACTTCAACGGGAAAAAAAATTAGAAGTTTCTAAGTTATGTAAGGCAACTTCAAAAAGATCATGGAAGGGACCCGCAGTTAGCATAATGGTTATGTCGCTGGACTCCCATGTAGTCGACTGCGGTTCAAGTCCTGGACCCGGTGGCTTAAATTCACGCTGGGTGTGTGTGCGTGCGTGCCCAAGATCCCGAGAGGAGAATGGAGGTGAAGGGACTGTGGCGTGGCCATCCCTCCTGGGGGGTGATTTCTCGCTTTCTGTCTCTCTGTCTGGCGAGCGCACGTGCCCTGTAGCAAAAGCATCTCAAAAAAAAAAAAAGATCATGGAAAACACATACCATGAATACTCTATGCATAGATTTCTATTTTGGGGCACCAAAATAAACTTGTACTTTAATTCCATTTTTCCATAAACTTTTAAAAACCCTTCTGTATATTGTGAATTATGCAAACTAAAACCTTAGAAACTCCCTACCTTTGATAGTCTACATCAGCAGTTCTCCCCCTGGGCCAGGTTTGTCAATGTCTAGAGACAGATTTCATTGTCACGATGGGGAGAGGAGGGGAGGGTGTAGGTGGTGGTAGTACTGGCATCTTCTGAGTAGAGATGGCAGTGGTTCTCAATGGGGAATGACTGTATATCCCAGGGAACATGTGGCAATGCCTGGAGATACTTTTGGTTGTCAAAACTGGTGGGAAGGTAGGTGGGAGATATGCTATAGACATGCAGTGGATAGAGACCAAGGATTCTGATTAACATCTATTATGTACAGCATAGCTTCATACAACAAAGAATTACCTGGCCCAAATGTCAGTAGGACCACAAACCCTGGATTAGATTAACCAAAAAACCCACTCCCACACATACACACACAAAAAAGAACAACTAGAAAACCTAGTTGTAGAGAAACCAGGAAGGAAGGGACTTCAGAGAGAAAAACAACAACAAATTTATTTGTTGTACACTGTAATATAAAACCCTCCATCAACTGTCCCATCTTTGGTATAATTTATATTTCTCAATTGGAGTTGATTTTGCTTATACTAAGGGACACTTGGCAGTGTCTGAAGGCAGTTTTATCTGTCCTTAGTAGGAGACAGGATTGCTAGGGGCCAAAGGTCAAGATAAACATCCTATAATGCACGGGACAGCAGCCTACGATAAATTTTCACCCCAAAATATACAGTTCAGAGGTTAAGAAACTGGTTTACACTGACAAATAGTTTTTTTGTGAGTAAATTATTTTTCATCAACTCAGAGAAATATTGAATTCTATTCAAATTGGAATAGAAAGAAAGCAGAGTACTGAACATTCATTAACACAAGAGTCAAAGTTTGACAATTCAGTTGACTTCAGAGTATTCTTATTACATTCTTAGCATGGTGGTTCATATTCAGTAGGCATTCAACAAATATTAGATCACTTCTGTTGAATTATACCTCACCTATCATTCATCGTAAATTATTTTTTTACTATTTAGGTGTTGTTCATGCTGTTTCTTCAGTTTGGAATGCCCACTCTCCTATGCCAAGCCAAATTACGTCCATTATTCTGGGTCCAGTCAAACTGTCCTATCATCCCCAAGTTCCTATCTACTCTCCATTTCAAAACTTTTGTAGTTCTTGTTATGTAACAATAATGGTGACATTTATACTATACTAGCTTGCATCCCTACAGAGACAGCTTTGAAGAATTCAAATGAATTAAGAGAATACCAGGTATTTAAATACAGTAAACATATATGTAACAGTTAAAACAGTTTTATCCCATGTGCTTGAGAAATTATGAGAGAAAACTATTCATAGTTTAATCTGCATAAGAATCTAGTATGCAGGATCAGGTGGCATGGTGGTTGGGGTGTTGGACTCCCACCTGCCTGACCATGGTTTGAGTCCCAAACCTGGTAGCTCACTTTCTCTCTCTCTCTTTTGTAGATGCCTTATAAAAAATTGATAATAATAAATAAAATTAAGTAATTATTTTTAAAAATCCAGTATATAATAAATGTGGGATTTTAATCCAATTTTAAATCAGTAAATTATATAGTAGAGGGGCTAGTAGGTGGTATCGTGGTTAAAGCTCTGGACTCTCATGTGGCCAATGGTAGCTCGAATCCCAGACTCAGTGGCTTGAAATTCATAACAGATGCATGTGCAGGTGTACCCAAAAATCCCAGTCAGAGAATGCAAGAAAATGGATTGCAGCATGGCCATCCCCTGTGTGGGGTGATTCTTGCTTTCTGACTCTGTCTCTCTGGCAAGTGTATGTGCCCTATAGCAAAAAAATCTCTCTCTCAAAAAAAATAAATAAATAAAATTATCCAGCACAAGCTGAATAAATAAAATAAAAACTACATAAAACATATCAAAAAATTCCCACTAGATTCTTGTCTTGTGTAAAAACAAAGAACTTGAAGTTTATATAGAAAAATAATTTCTGATATAAAAATGAAAAATAACTTTAAACAAAAGCATCCACAAAAAATACTAATAGGTAGATATTAATTTATTACATTCTTAGCATGGTGGTTCATATTCAGTAGGCATTCAACAAATATTAGATCACTTCTGTTGAATTATACCTCACCTATCATTCATCGTAAATTATTTTTTTACTATTTAGGTGTTGTTCATGCTGTTTCTTCAGTTTGGAATGCCCACTCTCCTATGCCAAGCCAAATTACGTCCATTATTCTGGGTCCAGTCAAACTGTCCTATCATCCCCAAGTTCCTATCTACTCTCCATTTCAAAACTTTTGTAGTTCTTGTTATGTAACAATAATGGTGACATTTATACTATACTAGCTTGCATCCCTACAGAGACAGCTTTGAAGAATTCAAATGAATTAAGAGAATACCAGGTATTTAAATACAGTAAACATATATGTAACAGTT